GTTTGCCCCGCGTATTTTGCATGGTCTAGGTTTAATTTTTGGCAAACCTCTGAAAACTGATCATGCTACTAACACTGGATCACGCCCTTCAGTTGCGCGTGTTCTGGTTGAGTTGGATGTGTCCAAACAGTATCGGGACAAAATTTGGGTTGGTTCGGATAAATCTGGTTATGTCCAATCTGTGATTTTAGAGGATTGTCCGGAATATTGTGTTCATTGTCTCGCTTTGGGTCATTCCAAGGCTAGGAGTTTGATTCTTCATCCTAATCTTGATTCTTCTGTTTAGCCAAATCATGTGATTGCTGTTGAGCGGGTGGTTCCGACTGTTGGTGTTGATTCTGCTGTGATTGAGTCTATCGATCCAGCTATTGTTTCTTCTGTTTTGGCTCCGCCTGCTCATAATGTGAATGAGGTGCCTGTTAATTTGCCTTCAGTTGGTGGAGTTGTGGTTAATGCTGTTGCTAACGTTCTAGTTGCGACTGAAGATGTGCCCAATTCCTTGCCTATTGTTGATGCACTTTTACTTGGTGGTCTGGTGCCTTCGGATGAGGCTTGTGTTGTTGTTTCTTCTTTGAAAGTTTGTGAGGAGGCTCAGGCTTGTCATAGTGTTGGCTGTGATTTAAATTCTAGTGCTCTGTTGCCTGTGGTGGGTGCCAAGTCTGCCCAGTGTATCCTACCTAGTAATCTTTTGCCCTCTGTGGTTGTTGAATGCTTGGATGGGTCGGCTCCTATTGAGGTTAATTTGGGTGGGCTTGTATGTGGGGATTCATGCGATGCCCCTGCCTTATCTTCCCCTAATAGTAATGATGGTTTAGTTCATAATGATTTTGTTGATGTGCCGGTGAACTTTATTAGCCCCCAAGCTTTGGTTTATCATGTGGGGGACAATTTGGGTATGGATATGAGAAAACAGCTCGATTGGCTTCAAGATGCGTCTGATTCCGAGTCTATTTCTTCTTCTGAATCTATTAGGGTGGATGATCCTGGAAATCCTTTTGCTTTGCTGCGTGATACACCGGTTGTTTCCGTTGCCACTCGTGGTAAGGCTCATGGTAGGGGTAGACAGGGTCGATAATGGCTGTGGTTATATTGTGGCTCGATTGGATGGTTCTTTGGGTTTGTGCTGTGGTTGGACTGGGTTCTTTGGTGTGGGTGGTTGCCTTTATTTATTTTTGCTTGATGATGTTGCATTATTTGGGACCTCTTCGGTTGGTTTTCGTTTGGCCGGGCAATGTTGTGGCTGGGGATCGCTTCTCCTTCAGTTGGCTCGTGGCACCCTTTGATGATGGTTTGGGTTGGCTGCCTCGCGTGATTTTTCATCAAATTGGATGGTCTAAGCTTGGCTTAAGGGAAGCTGGAAGTCTCGGCCGTTAACTGAGCCCTCGTACCTTGTATTTTAATTCGTTTTCTTGTCGTGTTGTTTCTTTAATTTCTGTATCATGTGTTTTTTTGTCTTTAATAAAATTTGTGTTAAAAAAAATGGTTAAGCTATTATGCTTGATATGGATGACGTTCATTTATTAGCATATATTGGATCATTATCGCATACTTCACTTTTATTTGAGCCTTGTTTAGCTTAATTTTTTGGTCGGCTAAATTTTGAGCATTGAGTGATCTCCATATATGTGTTGTAACTTTAGTTCCTTTAAGTAGTAAATTAAGTGTACATGTGTTTCAGTTTCAACTTAAGTCTCCTTTTTTGGTCAAATTCTCTAACAATTGGTATCAAAATCAATAATTTCAATGCATTAGAATGGTTCATAAGATGCCTTCTACTATGTTAGAGCAAATTATAAGATAAGGTGCCTCTCACGAAGGTGTTGCAATTGGTCATTTTGGTGGGTGAGCTAGTTGTTAACATATGTGAGAGTATTATGATTTACCCTACACCATATAGTTAAAATATGTGGCCCTTACAAATACAAGTTGTTGACTCTCAGTCATAGGAGAGATTATTACATGCACCGGACAGTTCAGAGGCAAATCAGGATAAGTCACTTCACCCGGTGCACAACACCGATATAGAACAAGAAAGTAACATGTCACTTCCTGATTCCTCTCTAGGGGTGTCAATTCGGGTCAACGGGTCGAGTTCGGTTCGAACCCGGAACTGACCCGGCACTATTCAAGTCAACTCGAACCCGTCCCGTTTTTAAAAACAGGTCAGGTTTCCAGACCCAAACCCGACCCGATTCGGGTCCGGGTCAACCCGACCCGACACGAATCACCCAAAGTTGACTTAAAATTGCTAGTTTTTCGGGTCAAAATCAGGTCAATCTCGGGTTTCCGAGTCAAATAAGAGCTTTCGTGTCAATTTCGGATCATTTTTGTGTCAATTTCGGGTTGCTGAGTCAACCCGAACTCGATCCAATTTTTAAAACGAGTTGATTTGTTAAACCCGAACCCGACCCGTTTCGGGTCCAGGTTGACCCTAACCCGAATTTTTCCGGCTCGTTTTAAAAAATTAAGACCCCTATTCCTCTCCAGACGGAATCTGAAAATCACACGTAATAATTTCACTGCAGGGGCGGATCTATAGTGAGGGCCCTGGGGGCACGGGCCCCCACTGGCCCAATAATTAAAATCAGCCCATCTTAAACTAGACTAATAAAATTATTAATATATAAAATTAAATTTGATTTTTAAAACCAATCATTTTCGGCTTCTCCTCCGCCTCCGCCTCCCCCTCCCCAAAAAAAACCTCTCCAGTTCCTCCGCCTTTATTTGAATTCAATTTTATAATAAAAATAATATTATTTTTTATTAAATAACAAGATAGAGAGTGATATATCTATTTTTTTAATGGAAATGCATATGATTTTAAATGTGTTTTTATAATTTTTCATTAAAAATATCTCTTTTACATTGAGTAAAAATTATATTTTAAGAATAATTTAAAAATTAATATTAATTTGTGCTCCCATATAAAAAATTTTCTGGCTCCGCCCCTAAATGGCCTCAGTTGTTGCAACGAACCCAATTTTGATTTCATTTGGTTCACATTTCATGTCAAGGATTGAATTCCTTTCAAATTGTTAAATGATATGATTCACTTCTCTTGCTGATCTTAATCTGACTTTGATGCCGGAGAAGGCTTCATTACTTCCGAAAAGCTTGGTACAATCATGAGATCATTGGGCCAAGATCCTACTGAAGTGCAATTGCAGAATCTGATCAGTGAGTTTGATGATGATAAAAATAACGCCATTGATTTTCCTGAGTTTCTGAATCTTATGACGAGCAAAACAAATGTGAGTTCATCTTTTCTATTGTAAGTTCTTGTATGCTAATCTTTAAACAGATATCACCTTTTGATTTTTTGCTTTCTTTCTTATACTCTCTGCTGCTAACTCGCTCGATGTCCTTGCTCAAAGTAATTGAGAAGGGACTTAGGGAAGCTTTCAACATGTTTGATAAAGATTAGGATGGCTTCATTTCTGCAGTGGAGGAAAGCACTCAGCTTCTACTCTCCATTAAAGCACAAATAAAATGGAGTTTTTTAAAGCTATCTGAATTGTGGGACATTTGCAGCTCGGTCAAGTGATGGCAAACCTTGGGCAGAAACTGACTGATGAGGATTTGAACGAAATGATAAGTCAGATAGACTTGGATGGAGATGGGCAGGTCATCTTTGATGAATTTGTGGTGAAGATGATGGAAGGTCACTGAGATTATAGTTTCTATCCATGACAAAAAGGCTTAATTAATGTTTCAAATGTCATCTGTACTGAAAAATATTTTAAAATAACTATCCTAACAGTATTATAAGAAAATTCCAAAAAAAAAAATATATAATAAGACTTATTTATCTATTATGCTGATTGCAAATTTGCAATATTGCCATGGCTTATCTAATTTCTTTGCATTGAACACTTTTTCATTGGTAAAATGTTGAGGCTTTGGTTTGAGGTATTTTTCTGATATATTAGCACTACTATATGTATGAGATTTTGGCACTCTTTATTAATGTCGGTGAGCAAATTGGTGCTATAGATCAGTATTAGGAGCGGTTTTAGCCAATTAAGATAAATACAAACACACATCACATATATAAGATTCAAACTTAAGACCTCTTTGTTGATAGTCAAATATTCCAGCCAACAAACCAAAGTTAATTGTGTTATTAGAGTTTATTTTAATGAACACATGTTGAAATTTGTATGATGAAACAAGTGCTAATTATATATTTATAAAAAATATATTATTTGCAACTATTGATATTTATTTTGCTTCAACTTTTTATTTTAAACATTCATTTGTAAAAATTCAAATAGGCTCAATCCTACTTTGATAGTTTGATTTATATTTTCTTGAACTTTAATTCATTTTGATCTGATTTATTAGTTCTAAACTCTCTATTTTAAAAATGAAGTGGTCTTTTGCGTTCACATTTATTTTTTAATTTTAATTTTAAATTTATTTTATTTCATTTATATTTTGATATAAAATAAAAGATATTTAATATCTTTAAATATATTATTTTTTATTTTAATTAAATATTGAATTAATTGATTTATGAAACCATAGCAACGTACATAACATTGACATTTTTTTTGGGGAAAAATTAAGGGCTAAGCCCTGTTGACCTCGTTTTATTTTAGTTTGCCCTCGAGCATTTTCGAGTTATTTAATTGAACCTTATCGAGACCAAATGGAGCTCGAGTCGACTTGACTCGAGTCGAATTTAACTCTACCAAGTTTAATTAACCTCGATCAGTGCATATCGCCCCGTCGGGCTCGATTTGATTTCAATCGATATTATTTTTGGGTTTAATTTTGCAGAACTAAATTAATTGAATTAGAACGAACCTAATTCGACCCAAACCGAGTTAGATTTGGACTCAAATTCAAACCTGATCTATCCTAATTAAATCGTATTAAACTCAATTGATTTCATCATCATTTTAAATTAACTTCTATTTGGGTAAATTTACATCCATGGGCACGATCGAGCGAGCATACATGACATGATTTTGTAAGCTGAGACGAGTGGCGGGATTCCCTCTTCAGCATTAACGAGCATTTAACTCTTGCCCTTATCGTCGATCTAGCCGTTTGTTTTTTTGGGCTCTCCGGTTCAAAATCCCCTTGGCAAGCTAGCTCCGAGGAGGAGGCTCTCGGTCTCGACGCCCGTTCGCGTGGAAGCCTAGGCCGAAGGCCCTTTTGCCCGCACTCCAGTCCTCCTCCTCCGTCTCTCTATGGTTTGCACGATACCGAGAGCTGAAACCCCTATCCGGCCTCCCTCTCTGTTTCGCACAGACCAAGCCGAAGCCTCCCCAATCCCTCTGTTCGCGCGACCCCAGCCAGGCCGGCCTCCCATTGCTTACAAGGTAAGCTTCTTCTTCTCTTCCTTCCTCTTCTTCCTCTTCTTTTTTTTCTTCTTCTATTTCGTTTCCTTCTTCTCCTTCTCCACCTTTTTCTTCTTCTTTCTTTTCTTCTCCATTTTCTTCCTTCATTCCTCCTCCTCTTACTCTCCTTTCTATGTGAGTAAAATCTGCACTCATTTGAAGTGTAGCTTCTCTAACGTACAAAGGCTTTTCTCTAGAAATTGAGTGGGATATAGCCTCATGGACTGTGAATGAGCACTATGACATGGTTTATGTGGTTTGAAATATGAACCCTGGTGTGTAAAATCTGTATTCGTTGTTTGCTTACACCCTGCAATGTGTTTAGGACCTCATGTGTAGGTGATAGAAATTGTAGCATCTTTTGCCAAGTGCATGGAAGGTGTTCGTAGTCATGCTCACTAAGAGTGTTCATATATAAACTTCAATCGAATGAGGACATTGAGAGATCATATTGATATCCCATCATTCCTATATCTTTAAGAGGGCTATGAATTCGGATTACGTGGAGCAAAACCACTTGGTAGTATTGTTGAAAATTTCTGTGTTGCTGCTTCTTTTGCTGATGTTCATTCCTTTTTTTTTGTTTTTTGATGTTTTCTTTTATATTTTATTTTATTCATATTTATAAAGATTTGCTGGAAAGATTGAAGTTACTCCTTATGGATTATTTTGCTCACTCATAAAATACACAGTTTATCATTAGCGGCATAGGCGAAGTTTGTCTCGATACCTAGTAACAAGTAGTTTGGATTGAGATCATGTTGGAATGTCCTGTTGGAAGGTTTCGTGTGTGTTTTTGCATGTCCTTCTTACATTACTCCTAACAGTTGCATGGAACCTAGGTATATAAGAGAAAGTGGGCTGATTTCTCCTTTTTTTTATTTCAACAAATACCATGCTAATTTCAGATTTTTGACAAATAACGATCATGCATATTTGACATTAAATGAGATTTAAGGGTTTGTTGAAAAGGTCGCACATGCTGCATAGTTCAATCCTTGAGAATATTTGGCTTGAATGCAAGATTGCGTTAGTTATGTTAAATTTTATTCTTATGGTTTAATTTGAAGAGATATGTATGTTTTCTTTCCCAATAATGGGAATTCGTGATACTTTCATAAAGTATGTTAGAGAAGTGTTAGAAAATATGCATGATATCCTCTCTTTTATTGACGAGTATCTATGGTCGGTTATATTTTGAAAAATCTCTTGGGGGAAAATCCGAGGCTATTTGCAACAAGCTGTCATTCTTATGATTACAATTTAGTTGGGATTCAACATTAAATGATTTATTTGTTTGCTACTTGGTTTGGGAAAGCACATTTTCAATTTTCTTTCTCAAATACATATGATTTCGCGGGTGACTTTGTGTTAGAGAGTTTCATGAGCTGTCTTCGGATTGAGAAATGCCATTAATATATGGGTATGGGTGTTAATAGATTATGAAGGGTTATTATTTTGTAGATCTGATGCTTAGTCAATCCCATATAAAAATGAATTCATAATTTTAAAGTGTTTGAAGCTATGTGATTGTTTATTTCATACATCCTGCATAATGTTAAAATGTTTATTTTATATATTTCATGTTAGTATTGGGCTTGCTCATGCGAATTTTATATTAATGAAGAAAATAGACTTTTCTGCTATCCGTTTGAAAGGCCATGTAAGCAAAAAAAAAAAAACATTTTGTGATATATCTACCGGATGAATGAAGAGAATATTGCACATAATTCCAAAATTATTTGTGACAAAGGACTTGAGTTTGTTCCTTTTCTTCACATCCTGTAAATGAGTGTATCAAACTAATAATTATTTGTGTTAAGTATTTCTCTCATACATGTATTCTGTAATTCAAACAATGGTTTGCATTCTTTTTTTAAATACATTGGCACGTGATAATTGAAGATCAAGGTAGGTTTTCATGTGCTTTGACAATTATTAAGATTAATGTCATACACATAAGACTCAAATTAAATATTTGTGAGGGAGATGATGATGATTTAGTATTCAGCCATCGGTTTCTATGGTTTCTATGGAGTATCTATCTTTTCCATGATAATGATGCGGCATGTTTGAATGGTTTGAGCTTCTCGAGCTTCTAAAAAGTTGCTATACTTGTGTTATTTCATGAATTTCACTATCTTCTCATCTCTTGGCTTCTTAATTTTCCTTTTATTTTTCTTTCCATTTGGAATTTTGTTGTTCTTGGTTTTGAGTTACTTTTGGAAACAGATAAGTGAGATTTCCTTGATGGCTTTGTGCTGAGGTGTTCGCAATTTTCTTTATAAAGCATTTTGGAGAGGTTGCATGCTTGACATAAAAAAAATTTATGAATTTGTTTTATGTGAAAGTTTTATGAGCCGCTTCATATTGAAAAGTTTTGCGATGTGTTTTATGGTAGAAGGCCCGGCAAAATTCCCCTTGTGTTTGAAAATTCTATAAGATGCTTTATGTTAAAAATTTTATAACTTGTATTATATTGGAATCTCATAAGTGACTTTATGGTTGTAAGCTTTACGAAAATCTTTGAGTTGTTTTGCATCGAGAAGTTTTATGATTTGCTTTGTGAATGCTTTACAATGGGAAACTCTTACGATTTTTTTTTTCTATCGGAGAATTTGCTTAATTTTATCCCACGCCAAATATAAGAGCACTCGGTGGTTTTATGTTGAGAAGGGATTTGGGGGATTTCTTATAAAAAAAAAAGAAGGGCTTTGGGGTTGTTTTGTTTAGGAGGTATTATAAGTTGTTTTGTGATTTAAAGTTTTAGTATTTGGTTTATGTTTGAGGTCTCTTTATGTCTTTCTTGGAACAAAATCGTACTTCGTATTTGAATTGTTTTTCCTCTCTTTATGTTTACTTCTAGAATTGAGCACTTTTTTTGGATAAATGTGAGTTGAAAGCTTATTTTGTTTTTAGTTTTGGGAGCTTCTTCCCCTTTCGTCACTTTGAGCCTTCTTTAGGAAGTAGTTTGGTTATTTGAGTGGGGTATTATTCGAGTACTTTGTTTGCAATGTGGAGAAAGCAAAGGGCATTAAAAAAATACCTTCTTCCCTATTCATATTATATTGAATTGGGGTAAATGACGTTTTAGAGGAATACTTGACTTCAAAGAAGTATACCCAACAATAAAAATGCATATATTACTTTTAATTTTAATTTTACTCTTATCTTTTTATTGCATTTTATTGCCTTTTTTCTTGCTTTTAGTTTTTCTGCCGCTCTATTATTTATGTTTTAAGATTGAATGCTTGCAAAAAATGAGAAAAAAAGCAAGTGGCCCATCCGATGTGCAAATAACAAAAAGGTGATCTTTGGAGAACAAAGAAGAGGGAGCATTGGAGCACTAGGCAAAGGAGCATGGACAATCGGATCCGAGCATCATTAGACCTCATTTAGTCTGGTGGGGGCACTACGGGTGGAACCACCGGGTCATAGCCCCCGGTGCTGTAAGTCTCATTGAACTTAGAAAACCTTTAGGGATCCTCATGGTTGCACGCTCCCTACCTTTTAGGACCCTATAGAAACTTCATTTATAACTAGGATTGCTTTCTTTTATTTTAGATCCCTAAACCTGTTGACATATATACGAATGTCCTAAGGGTTAGAAACGCGTCTTTTTCGTCTCATAACTTTAGTGACATCTAAGGACAAAAATTAAGGACCGAGTCTTAGATAACATAGACTTAGAGTGCATGTTCCTTTTAGGACAGAGACTTTAGAACATAGAAAATTTAGTGACACATTTTTCTAGTATTAACATGCCATAGGTTATTAATCATTAATCAACAAAGTTATAACAATTCGAGTAAAAAAAAATACTAAACCCATCTTAGATTTAGGGTTCAAGGCTACTACATCGGGTGTCTCGTAGTATGCCTAAATAGTGGGTAGGTCACTTCTCTTTAGGGACTATAAATCATGCTTATCCGCGTCGCGTAGATGACGTCGCTTCTATCCTCTCTCTCTGTATGATTTGAGTGCATGATTTTCTTTCCTTCCTCAATTTCCTTGGTCCCTCTGAGTATGGATCTGAACCATGCATGTTAACTAAGCCATTTGAGTCCCTTCCTTTCCTTTTAAGTAGGAACTTCATAGTCTCTCTTTTGTGTGTCAATCCCTTTTTGAGAAGAATAATATCGGATCCTTAATCAAGAATTTTCTCGGGCCCTAGGCTCGAGATGTAATTAACCACGGGGACTTGCGCCCGTGGGAAACAGAATTCCACAACAAATAAACCCCACTCGAGCTAATATATCGAGTGGGGGAAACCCGTTGTTACGATTCAGGTCGTATATATTACTAACCATCAGGGTGCACTAGCAAGAGCCGCTATCATCAATGGTTAGTCGTATGTACGATCTAATCTGCCCTTTCATTGGCCTGTTTGCGGGGAGCGCAGAGGCTTGCGATCGTCTCTATCCTTCGGGGTAGGTGCGGTCGTATACCCCTCTGCACTCTGCCGCAGCTACGCGGTATCCTTTCGGAGGTCCACAAGCCCATTCTATTAAAAAGGTGTACACGTAAAGTAAATAATCTGGGCAGGATTCAGAATAAGCGTATATCTTGACTTGAATCATACTCAGATTTCCCAGTGACATTCAGAAAGAATCAAAGATAATGATGACAACAATAATTTTCCAAAAAACACCAAATTATTAGTTTGAGCATTTTTAAAGATAAAGAACACACACATTTATAAATTTACTCTCAAATGAACATAATTAATAACGAAATTGAAAACAATTTAATAATAGCTCAATCATCGATTTAAATCCCCCATAACTCTTTCTCCCTTCCATAACATCTCTCTCTCTCTCTCTCTCTCTCTCTCTCTCTCTCTCTCTCTCTCTCTCTCTCTCTCTGTGGCAGACAAAGAGGTTTGTCGGGGGTTTCCACGGCGTTAGTTCTCTCAGGTGTCTCTAATGGTTTACGTCCGATAATTAGGATGGGTCGCATAAGCGGTTAGTGACAGAGTGTAT